GTCGTTTTCGTGCGTTTCCTCGGGAACGGGGGGAGCAGGAGGTCGGGGGCCGTTTGCCCGTTGAGCCAAAGTTTGCCCTTGTTCTCTTCCTTGTATGCGTATGTGTTTGTATGTGTTTGTGTTTTCGTGTGCGTGTTTGTTTGTGTGTGTGCTTGTGTTTGTGCTGTGTTTCGGTTCGTTTTGAGTTGAGTCTCCTCCTCAGTCTTCTAGCCGCTGAATGCTTACGTTTGGGATTACAGCCCCTCCTGCACACCACCCATCGCTTGCACCTTACAGTTTGCGACGTTTTGTAAACTGTCCTCGGCCATGTTCGATCGCAATTAACACTTCCATATGTTGCCCGCGCTTGAGGACCCTCTGCGCCGCCGACTCAAAAAAACGTGCTTGTTTGTGTGTCAGTGTTTGGGTGTTTGTGAGTGCGTTGTGCTGTTTGCACATATCGTTATTCCAGGATTGTTCCCCTTCTCATAAATCTGCCCTTTCCCGCCCGAGTATGCTCGGCAGCCGTCCTGAAGATCCAGCGCAGCTGGCTCTTATTTTGTCGTCGCGTTCCGCCCTGGTTGTGGCACTCTGAACCTGCTCTTTGGCAAAACCTGAACACGTGTGCGTCTCTGGGCTGCGCGTTCCCCTTTTTTGCATTATCAGGGAGCTTGGCCCTTGCTCTCCCCTCCGGGTCCCCGCCAGTTGGTTTCGCCCCGGCGCGTGGCGACTAAAGCCGTCGCCCGGTCGTCTTTCACTTCGACAGTTTGTTCCTCACGACGTGCTGCTTTTCATTCCACGCCATGTTCGGTGCGTGGGGTCGCCCGCGCGCCCCTCAACCGCCAACTCTTGACGGTTGGGCCCCATCCCGCCGCCTCCCTCCGCGGCCGCCCTCTTCTTTTCCACCCGTTTTGGCGCCCATTCCCGGCACGCCCTGCCGTCAGCGACACCCGCGCCCGCTGGCGCCGCTGATTACAAGAGGTTGTGTTTGTTTGTAATGGTACTGTTAGCGCGCATGTGCTTGCAATTGTGTGTAATTGCGTGCATCTGTGCGCCTGTGTCTGTGTTTGTGTTCTTGGTGTTGCTGCTGTTGTTGTGGTGGTGATGGCTGTTGGTGTTGTTGGTGTGGCTGTTGTTGTTGTTGATTATGTTGCCGTTGTTGTTGTCGGTGTTTCTGTCCCGGCCACCACAGGACAACTCCGTGCGCACGGCCGCCACACAAATAAAATATTTGTTGTCGGTCATGCCTGGTTCTGTAATCCAGAACAAGACGCATACTTTCGACATCCGTCACACAACTAGACCTAGGTTTCGTTTGTTTGTATTGCTTGCCACGGACAGTTTCTAGGTTTTCCCATAAGTGTTGTTGTGTTGGTGTGTTGTGTTGAATTCCGTACGTTACCCGCCACAAGGGGGGCTCTTTGTGTAAGGCCAGCACCGAGGAAATATGTTGCAACATCCGCTACGAAAGAAGAGTCGTTCTGTAATTCGCCACAACGATTCCGTTTGCAATCTGCCACGGGAGTTGTGTTGAATTCCGCTAGACATGCAACAAAACCAAAATAATCATTAATCACGCTTTGCGTATCCCCACAAACTCGTTCAGAAACCTTGCAAATGGAGAGTTGACGGGTAGAGGGACGAAGAGACAAGTAGTGAAACAAATGGGAAACCAAGGCGAACAGAGCGATTACCCGAAGTAGGGGGGGGGGTGAAGGTTTTTTCGGGCCATCCCTGGGGCTTGCGTGGGAGCGAGGGAAGCATGAGGAGGAGGAGGAAGAAAACGATGACGAGGAAGAAGAGCAACAAGAGTCAGAGGCAGCAGCGTGGAACGGGGATTTCCCCGCTGCAACGTCCCGGCGCAGAACCGCGGGTCACGCCGGGAGGCCGCGAGGAGGACATCCACTCCACAACCATATCCTCCTTGACGTCCACCACCTCATCGTCTTCCGTCCTCCGCAACAAGCACCTGCTCGTGTACCTTCTCAAGCAGCGCCACCTTGGCATCCCCCTCCCCATCGTCGTCCTCCTCCTACTCCTGGCCACCCTGGTCCTCCTCCTCGATCTCCGTGGCACCGCCCCCCCAACTTCAAAGTGGGCGGTGCAAAAGACCGTTTCTGTCAAAGCCTCGCCTCCCCCTTCGGCGGCGGTTAACCCACCCATCCCGCTAGCAGACCGTGGAGGCCTTGGATAAGGAATCCAGGGTCCGGAGCCTTGTGGAGATCCACTTGCGCGCTTGCGTGGAAGGGGGGGCGGGTGGGTGGGCAGAAGTTGTCCGCCCCCAATCATTGTGAGCTCTCTACCCTTCCTCCGCCCCCCCCCCCTACTTCCCCCCCCCCTCCCGCCCCCTCCCCCCCCCACACACACGCACACACCTCCCCCCCACCCTTCCTCCGCCTCAGATCTCCTGGAGGAGGAGAGCAGGTGAGCCGTTGCGGTTGCGGTTGCGGTTGCGCGCCCGCGGGCGGGTTGAAATGCGTCGCCCAGTTGGGGTTGCAGTTGCGCGCCCGCGGGCGGGTTGAAATTCGTCGCCCAGTTGCGCTTGCGCGCCCGCGGGCGGGTTGAAATGCGTCGCCCAGGTGCGGTTGCGCTTGCGCGCCCGCGGGCGGGTTGAAATGTGTCGCCCAGTTGCGGTCGCGGTTGCGCGCTCGCGGGCGGGTCGAAATGCGTCGTGCAGTCGCGGTTGCGTTTGCGCGCCTACGGGCGGGTTGAAATGCGTCGCCCGGTTGCGGTTGCGCGCCCGCGGCCAGGTTGAGATGTGTCGCCCAGTTGCGTTAGCGGTTGCGCGCCCGCGGGCGGTTTGAAATGCGTCGCCCAGGTGCGGTTGCGGTTGCGCGCCCGCGGACGGTCGAAATGTGTCGCCCAGTTGCGGTTGCGGTTGCGCGCCCGCGGACGATTTGAAATGTGTCGCCCAGTTGCGGTTGCGGTTGCGCGCCCGCGGGCGGGTCAAAATGTGTCGCGTAGTTGCGGTTGCGTTTGCGCGCCCGCGGGCGGGTCGAAATGCGTCGCCCAGTTCCGGTTGCGCGCCCGCGGGCGGGCTGTAATGTGTCGCCCAGGCGCCGTTGCGGTGGCGCGCCCGCGGGCGGGTTGAAATGTGTCGCCCAGGTGCGGTTGCAGTTGCGCGCCCGCGGGCGGGTTGAAATGTGGCGCCCAGTTGCGGTTGCGGTTGCGCGCCCGCGGGCGGGTTGAAATGCGTCGCCCAGTTGCGATTGCGCGCCTACGGGCGGGTCGAAATGTGTCGCCCAGGTGCGGTTGCGGTTGCGCTCCCGCGGACGGGTCGAAATGTGTCGCCCAGGTGCGGTTGCGGTTGCGCGCCCGCGGGCGGGTTGAAATGCGTCGCGTATTTGCGGTTGCGGTTGCACGCCTGCGGGCGGGTAGAAATGTGTCGCCCAGGTGCGGTTGCGCGCCCGCGGGCGGGTTGAAATGTGTCGCCCAAGTTCGGTTGCGGTTGCGCGCCCGCGGGCGGATCGAAATATGTCGCCCAGGGGCGGTTGCGCTTGCGCGCCCGGGGGCGGTTTGAAATGCGTCGCCCAGGTGAGGTTGCGGTTGCGCGCCCGCGGGCGGGTTGAAATGTGTCGCCCAGTTGCGGTTGCGGTTGCGCGCCCGCGGACGGGTCGAAATGTGTCGCCCAGTTGCGGTTGCGCGCCCGCGGGCGGTTTGAAATGTGTTGTTCACGGCGTTTTTTGGACGTTCAACCAGTCAATCAGTCAGTCAGTCAGTCACCGGCGGGCACGGAATTTCACCCGGCTCCGCCGGGAAAAAGAAGTTGACGAGGGCAAGGACGAAGAGGAGGAGGAGGAGGAAGAGGACAACGAGGACGAGAACGGAGCCCTCCAAATCGCCTCTTGGATCCCTCTCAGGACGCTTTTGGATGATCGTGGGGTCCTCTTGGGGCTCTTTTGGGGGGTATTGCCCTGGAGAGCCTCTTGGGGCCATCTTGGAAGCTATCGATCAAAGGAGGGAGGTCCTCGGTTTGCGTCCCCCCATGGGGCCATCAAAATCTCCTTTGGGGGCGCTCATGGGCCGAGATTAGGCGCTTTTGACGCCGTCTTGGGGGCCTCTCTCGTTTGGGCCTCTTGGGCCAACCTCAGGCTTCAAAAGCGTATCGGAAGGGAAAAGGCGAGAAGGCACCAATCATTATTACACTAATAGGCGTTTGAAAGATGGGCCTCTTGGGGGATTCCTGGGGTGGCTCCGAAAGCACTTGGAGCCTTCTTGAAGCTTCTTGTGGCCCTCGTCGGGCCTTTGGAGGTATGTCGGAAGTTATGTTGAACCATCGTCGGCTATGCTGAGCCGCCTTGGAGGCAATCTTGCAACGGCAGAGTCCCTTTTGAAGCCACCTTGGGCGCTAAAAGACCCTCTGACACATCGCGGCCCGCGCCAAAAAAATCAGGGAGGGGAGGGGGAGGGTACCCCTCCCCGAAGGGAAGAGGGTTTGGGAAGGGGAAAGCAAGAACTCGCTAGACCACCTTAGCCTAAAGGGCTGGCACTAATCGCGCTATGAACACACCGCGCAGATCGAACGCATCCCAGTTCAAGCAGACATGTGGTCATCCATTGCTCCGTCTTGCCTCTCAATTGCGCGCTTCTGGCGCGCTTTTTCGTGCATTGCGCTCTCCAGGCGCCGCCAAGGATCCTAGCCGCCCTCTTGAGTAAAAAACAACAAAAACATAGCTGTATGTACATATGTATGTATGTTTGTATGTATGCACAAGCACAGAATCATGTGTAAATATACACATGCATACATGCACATACATACATATACGTAATACGTGTAGGCATGTATATACGTATACATACACATACACATACACATACACCCACACATGCAGAATCATACGTACATACATGCAGATTTACATGCATGCATACATGCATCCATAGAGACAGAGACAGAGACAGAGACAGAGACAGAGACAGAGACAGACATCTACCGTTCCTCTTCCTCTGCAATTTGCCGCTCCCCGTCCTCCCCCTGCAAGCCTCTGGCTAAGCACCGTCAGCAAGCCCCTTTGCAGGTGGGCATGCTGCACTGCTTCGAGACGCAGTACCCCAAGATCTGCCAGGAGACCGCCGGGAGGGGATGGGTGCGAACGAGGAGGCCAACGATGTTCCGCGCGACCTCGCTCTCCCAACAATCGGGGGAGCCTAAGACCCGGGTTTGCCAGGACTCGGGTTCGCCATCGTTTTTTGACGACCGCGCCTCGGATTTTGACGAGGAGGAGTTTCGTGTGATGTCTGCAGCGGGAGTCCCCCGTGCCCGGGTCTTACGTCCCCCTGAAACAAGCCTGGTCTTCGCGCGGGGACACGCCCACCAACGACATGCTGCCGCTGGGAGCCCGCCAGCGTGCTGCTCCGCCCGTGCCTCGCCAGCAGAAACACGCCGACGAGCTCCCCACGGCGGCGCGCCATTGATACTGATGTTGCCGCCTCCCCCCCAGAGAGGAGGAGGAGGAGGAGGAGGAGGAGGAGGAGGAGGAGGAGGAGGAGGAGGAGGAGCAGAAGGAGCAGAAGGAGCAGAAGGAGGAGGAGGAGGAGGAAGAGGAGTTGGAAGAGGAGGTGGAGGTGGAGGAGGAGGTGGAGGAGGTATCCTCAATCTCCCCACCCCCCTCTGAGTTGTTCCTCCTCCCCTCCCTCCACTCCAGCATGCAGCTGCTGATCCCTCCTTCCCGCCTCCTCCACTGCCCCTCGCTGCCGCATCCCGCCTCCCCTCTCTCTCGCAGCCTCCTCGTTTCCTCTGCGTTTCTTCGCCGCTTCCGCTCTCGGGGCGCTGCCGAATGCGCATCTGCCGCCACTGTCAGGAGTTCCTGTGAGGTCCAGCGGAGCTCGTTTTCATTTTGATCCAAGCTATTACTCCGCCAACTGAACATCGGCCGCCACTTTCGTGAGCATCCCCGGTGCGCAACCCCCCTTGCGCACCCCCAAGTGCGCACCCCCAGGTGTGCACCCTCGGATGTGCACCCCACGGTGCGCATCCCCCTGGTGCGCGTGCGCGCCCATCGGTGCGAAAGAGCACTTAACTACTGTGGTCCCTTGAAGGGTCTCCCCCGGGTTCGGAACCAAGGGGGGGGCGGCGACGACGACGGCGTCGCGCTCGGCGTGGTCGTCGTCATCGCCGTCGTCGGCGTCGGCGTCGGTGTCGGCGTCGGCGCCAGCGTCAGCGTCGGCGTCGGCGTCGTTGTCGACGTGGTGCTCGGCGTCGGCGCCAGCGTCGGCGTCGGCGACGGCGCCAGTGTCGGCGTTGTTGCCGGCGTCGTCGGCGTCGTGCTCGGCGTCGTGCTCGTCGTCGTCGTCGGCGTCGGCATCCACGTCGGCGTCGGTGTCGGCGTTGGCGCCAGCGTCGGCGTCGGCGTCGCCCAGCGTTGTCGTCGTCGGCATCGGCGTCGTTGTCGACGTCGTGCTCGGCGTCGTGCTCTTCGTCGGCGTCGACGTCGGCGTCGTCGGCGTCGTGCTCGGCGTCGTGCTCGGCGTCGTGCTCGTCGTTGTCGGCGTCGTCGGCGTCGTGCTCGGCGTCGTCGTCGTCATCGCCGGCGTCGGCATCGTCGTCGGCGTCGTGCTCGGCGTCGTCGTCGGCGTCGTCGTCGTCGGCGGCGTCGGCGGCGTCGTCATCGTCGTCGGTGTCGGCGTCGGCGTCGGTGTCGGCGTCGGCGACAGCGTCGGCGTCGGCGTCGCCTGGCGTCGTCGTCGTCGTCGGCGTCAGCATCGTTGTCGACATCGTGCTTGGCGTCGTGCTCTTCGTCGGCGCCGGCGTCGTTGTCGGCGTCGGCGTCGTGCTCGGCGTCGTGCTCGGCGTCGTGCTCGTCGTCGTCGTCGTCGGCGTCGTTGCCGACGTCATGCTCGGCGTCGGCGTCGGCGTCGCCCGGCGTCGTCGTCGTCGTCGGCGTCGTTGTCGAGGTCGTGCTCGACGTCGTGCTCTTCGTCGGCGACGGCGCTAGCGCCGGCTTCGGCGTCGTTGTCGGCGTCGGCGTTGCGCGGCATCATACTCAGCGTCGTGCTCGGCGTCGTCGTCGTTGTCGGCGGTTTCGGCGCCGTCGTCGTCGACGTCGTTGTCGACGTCGTGATCGGCGTCGTACTCTTCGTCGGCGTCGGCACTGGTGCTCGGCGTCGTGCTCGTCGGCGTCGGCGTCGTCGGCGGTGTCGTGCCCCCCCCCCAGGTTCGAACCATGGGGAGGGGAGTTTACCCCCACCCCGGGTTTCCCGAGGGGGGCGGAGGAAGCAAGCGCCCGTGAAACGCGCCCTCTCCTCGGTACGCACCCTCAGGTGCGCAACCCTTGGTGCGCACCAGCGGTGCGCACCCCCCGTTGCGCACCCCCAGGTGCACCCTCCTGTGCGCACCCCCGGGTGCGCACCCGCTGGTGCGCACCCGCTGGCCCTGTGCGCACCCCTGATCCAATGCGCACCGCCCCCCTGTGCGCACCGCCCTGTGCGCACCGCCCAGGGCGCACCGCCTGGTGCGCACCCCGCAGCCCGCACCGCCTGGTGCGCCCCCCGCGGTCCGCGCAACTCCGGTCCGCGCCTAGCAGTCCCTGAGATCCTGGCGTTGCAGTGTCTGCACGCGGGGCGTTTTCGCTCAGTTTTGCGGGGACCCTCACAGATCGGCCCAGCTCGAAAAATCACGCAAGAAGATAGAGTCTTGGACTCTGGTCGTGGTTTTTCACGATGCTCAGGAGGGGGGAGGGGCAGGAGGAGGAGGAGGAGGAGGAGGAAGTGGAGGAGGACGAGGAGGAGGAAGTGAAGGAGGAGGAGGAGGAGGAGGTGGCGGGAGGATTTCCCCCTCCCCCAATTTCTTCGCAACGTCGGATCTCAGGGGTGCGCACCCCGCGGCGCACACCCCAGTGCGCACCCCCCTGGTCCGGCAGCGCGTCTTTCGAGGCCCACGGGGCGCCTGGCTCGGCAGCGCTTCGGTCGTGCTCGGTCCGGTTCGGGGGGAGGGGTCTCTTCGGAGGCGACGATAGGGGCGAATAGCCCAGGGTGGAGCAATACATGTATCCAGGGGTGCCGATGATCTATGTCTTCGACAAGGCTCCCGGGCGAATACGTGTAATGCCCGCCCCTGGGCTATTCGCCCCTATCGTCGCCGCCGATCTCTCCTGCTCGGCGTCAGGTGTTCGAGACTAGTTCGGCTCGGTTCGGGGGGAGAAAGCGACCGGTTCGATTTGGTTCGCGCTGGAATAACCCCGGTTTCACGCCAGTTCGGTTCGGCCCGGTTCAGTTCGGCATGTTCGGATCGGTTCCAGAATTTTCCTGAACTATCATTCGCCTCAGTGAGCGCTGCTCACTGCGCAACTGCGGTTCCCTTCATGACCTCCTGGGAAATTCAGCAGGGCGCGCTCTCATTCATACACGTACATACTACTTATGCCTTCCTTGTTCGCTGCCGACTGCGCAACGGACTGCGATTTCGTTAGAATGTGAGGGGTGCAGCGGAGCGCTGTATCGCTCACATCCAAGCTATGACGTACTCACCTTCTTGAGTAGCGCCAAATGCACAACTGACTGCGTTTCCGCGAGCTTGTGCGGGTCTAGCGGAATTCGGTCTTATTCAAGAGGTTGACACCATTCCGCCGACCCCCAGAAGAGGGAAGAAGTCCACGGGTGAGGCGGAGGGCTCGGAATGTCAGTTCGAGTTACCTCTATGGGCCCCTCTTGAGGCCCTGTTGGGACCATCTTGGACGCCTCTTGGACCGTCTTGGGTCCGTCTTAGAGCTTCTTGAGCCGTCTTGGAGCGGTTTTGAGCTGTCCTCGACGCTGTCACGACCAAGAATACGAATATTCTAGAAATAAACGTTATCCCAAGGGATTGGGACGATTTCTTCTTCTTGGGGCACTCTTCGGGGTCGCATTGGAGCCCTCTTGGTACGTCTTTGAGGCCTCTTGGGCAGTTCCGAGGCCCTCTTGCCTGTTTCTGAGACTCCTCGGCGTGTTGGAGCACAGCTTGAGCCAGCTTAGAGGGCACTTGGCATCTTGGAGGCCATGAAGTGTCGATTTGGAAGCTCTGGACCCTGGGGGTACGATGGCGAGCTCCACCCCCAGCGACACGCAACACCAGCCTTCCACAGCCCGCCTCCACCTACCGACCTCCAGCTCCCACCTCTGACCCAGCGTCCACCAGCACACCACTCCGCACATCCACGCAGGAGCACAGGCGGGGGTAGAGCCGATTATACCCACGTCGACGGCGACGTTCCCGCTTGCATTCTTCAGGCCCCTCCACACATGCTAAGCATTCACAGTGGACCGTCTCAACCAAGACACCGGCGAGACCATCAAGCCACAGCCCAAGACGGCACGTGGTCACTAACGGTACTTCACAAAAATGCACGTTCTCTGAACGATGACCGCATTGACGAGGTGATCATCGATAGGCACAGAACATTGGGACTTCATACTGTTCAACGAAACCTGGAGGACAGCAGTTTCAGAGATGTGGGAGACTGCCGAAGGCCATATCCGTAAGGCTTCGCCCCCTGCCGCCGGCCCCCTCTCTCGGAGAATGGGCCATGGAAGAGCTAAGTCATGAGGCCTTGACGCTGTCGTGAAGCAGTATCGAAACTTCATGCGAAGCCGATTCGCAATCAGCAAAACCAACTGATCACAAGAGGGGTTACCACACCTGGCGATTGGTAAGACGTGTATGGTTTACGGGCTTGGTTACCACACCTTGCGATTAAAGGGCCGAGGGAGTTCTCGCAGTTTGGGTTACCACGCCTTGCGATGGATGTGCGTGAAGGGTGGCACCGAATTTCAGAAATGTGGCAAATCCCCTGTGTTTTTGGACCCTGACCCCGCGGATCTGCGTAAGGGGTGGCACCGAATTTCAGAAATGTGGCAAATCCCTGTGTTTTTGGACCCTGACCCCGCGGATCTGCGTGAGGGGTGGCACCGAATTTCAGAAATGTGGCAAATCCCCTGTGTTTTTGGACCCTGACCCCGCGGATCTGCGTGAGGGGTGGCACCGAATTTCAGAAATGTGGCAAATCCCCTGTGTTTTTGGACCCTGACCCCGCGGATCTGCGTGAGGGGTGGCACCGAATTTCAGAAATGTGGCAAATCCCATGTGTTTTGG